AAACTTCAAAAGTAAACAAGGCAACATATACTCTGATCTATGGTGACATAAAAGTCTTTGCTCTTTTTATTAACATTAATCGAAAAACACAGAGAAAAGCTCGGTTTATTGCGAACAATAAAAACAACTTTCGTTTTTATCTATTTAGGATCTGGAATATAAAGGCATTCTTCTTTAACATCAAGTACTTTTACGGCAATATGTGATGAGCTTGCACAAACTTTCACAGAATATCCTTTCAGCTATAACACCTTAATAGCGCGTTAGCACGAGAGTTCCAGACTTGAGCGAAAGGTTATTTTTTTTGTCAGATTTGTCTTTTTCAACGTCGAGAAATGAGTAGAAAATAAGATCTTTCTAAGCTAAAAATTCACATGTTCGGAAGGGCGAATCATTGTCTTTGGAAGCGCAGATACTTAATATATAGTGCAACTTCCTATCCTAATGTTGATAATCATAAGCGAGCACTCATCAATCGTCTTCTTACTAGGATCTAAGTGTCTTAGCACGATCATTGAACGCTCAAATTGTAATATCGCGTGTTTTGATGAGTACTCATATGTAATTTTTATGTATTCGGGTGGTTTATATAAAATTAGTTATAAACATAATTATATTCTGTTTCGTATTGTTGTACTAATATAAAACTAATAATGAAAGACAGAGATGTATAGAATGAAAATTAGACGAGATACAATCAGTTTGAGAATCATAGGTCTGAATCTCTTTTTATAGGTTTTCTATACAAGACACAGATAAGCTTTCTATTGTTAGATAAATAACAATAAACAAAAAAACATGTATTCAAAGCTTGTTTATTACAAAAACAAAAAAATTGATATTATGAAATTGATTAATAGCTTTCTTATTCAGTAATTAAGAAAAAAGAATAAAAATTAAATTATCTATCTATGAAATTGCAATAGATTTGCATACAAAAGTTATTAGTCGTCTTTTTTCTTCATTGATTTTCATAATTAATCTGAAAAAAAAAGAGATTATTTCACTCTCGATGAATATTTTTATCTAAATTTAGGAAATGACATCGAACGAGTTATCATTTAAAGATTTAAAAAAAGATTTAATTTTTATTGGAGAAATGATTAATTGAATATGAAAAATTGTTCTTCATTTATTTAAATCCCCATTCATTGAATTCTTATGAATTATTCATTAGAAAAGAATAGAAAATTAATTAAATACGTCACTTATTAAAATATCTTTTTCATCTAATTATATCAGTTTTCTTTATTACGTTAATCCAATCTATTTTTGTACATTATAGTGCATTAGCATTTTGCTACATATTTTTAGTCATACTCGCTAAATGAGTATTTTCACTATGATAAATATAAAGTTCGGGAGGTCAACCGAATTTTCAGAGAAGCGGCTATCCCTTCCCTCCTCCCTCTCTTCCCTCATTGCAGTCGATGAAGCTGATATGCTAAAATTTGTAAATTAGACAAATAAATAACGAGAAATTGGTAGTGTTTTATTACGGTTTAGTCGAATATATATATATATGAAACGCTTCTTTGATGATTTATTTGTAGATAATAATGAGAATTCTGAAGAAACAGTTGTCTTTTGAATTACGGTCTTATTTTCCTCTATTGAGAATATATCTATACGAGTGACACGACAGTTGAGCACCCGACAGTTGAGCCCCCATCAAACAAATGATTAATGAGTAGATAAAAATAATTTTTTTGCATAAATTCAGTGAGGTGAATCGTGGAAGGTTATTGCACTATTCCTAATCTTTGATTTAAATTCCATTGGTCAGTGTTTCTTCCGGATTTGGTGCATGAATACGATCTGTGACTTAAACGTATTTTGTACCATCAAAGCACATACGACCTGTACAATTATTTGTACAGCAACACCAAATGGTTTAAGACTTGTTGGCATGACGGCAACAAAAGCCATCAAGTATAGGTTGATTCTTGTTTTTTGAGGATTTTACAATACTCATTGTATAATAATAATAGAATAAGATAGAAGAGTAATAGAACATATATAAAAAAAAAGAAATATAATTTGAAAAACTAATTCGTTTTCGTATAGATTATTGACTTAGCTATGAAGAAATTCAATAGCGAGCCATCAATCTCATAGGAAGATGTGACTTGTTTCTGTTCACTAATTTTGAGTTGAACAAAGTGGTCGAATATTAACTTTGTTTCTTTCGTAATTAATCGATGAGGGCTCAACTGTCGGTGTACTATCTATACGATATAAATTATCTCATAAGTTTTCAACTTTTTTTGTTTTAAATAAGCAGTAAAGCTTTCGACAATGAACTTTATTTATATTGACTGTCTTTTTCCTGATTGAATACAAAATAATATTTCAAAGTTTATATATTCACACAAATGTTATTCCATGCTTTTTTTTTTTTAGTAATCATCGATCATTAATTCAATTCTATTTTAATTATATTGCCAATAATTCATGTCTTATTTATGAAGCTCCTCGTTATTTACCATGGTTATTTGAAAATCCTAATACAACTATATGTAATTGTCCATTACTTTTTGCTTATAAACATGGTCAATTAGATGGACAATTAATACCATGTATACGTTCTATGTCTGGACATGAAACAGCACGTAAAATGGATGAATGTCATTTTGATCGAAAAGAAAATCTATGTCATACAACACTTGAATCATTAACTGATTTAAATAATAATACATTAACACATACAATTATATCAAATACATTTGAAATAGATAATTTTTTAATTCATCAATTATATGATAAAAATTATCTTTCATGTTCATATAATTATTCATTATTTCGATCATCATTTATTGTTCGTTCACGTTTATTTAATAATATAGGTCTTATTATTGGTATTATTTTTGGTATATTTATTGTATTACTTATTCTTGTTATGGCATTATTAAATGGTTTACAATATAAAATAAGAGAATATGATGAAACATGGACATGGAGACGAAATATGTCTTGGACATCATTACGACGAACATTATCACAAACATCTTTAAGACGTTCAAGACGAGATTTACGTACAGTCAATGAACATGTAATAACATCAAAATCTGATAATCAACTTGATTGTTTAAGATTTGAAGAAGTAGATAATGATGAACAAAATTTAGATAGTGAATTTATTCAAACACCATATATTAATTTATCAATACAGGAAAACTTAAAGAAAAATAATCAAATATAAGAAGCCTTCTTTTTTTTTTTCTTTTGTGATATTTTTATTTTGTTTTCTTTCTTTTTTCATTTGAAATAAATTAGAAATGTGAAATAAGATTGGACTCTATTTGTCATGTAAGTGATGAAGCTTTAGCAACGTTGGCTTATCTTCTACCATTGCATTTCTCAAATACATGACTCTGTCATAACTTGTTAATGTGCGGAACTTAAAAATTCTAGTTAAAGTTTCTATGACTTTTAGTGAATTATGTTATAAATCAAAACAAAATTCAGGAGTGATAATCGGAAAAAAATGATATTCATCGATTGAATTAATCAAAATACGAGTATTTAAAACTTTTTCATAGATTTAATGCGAATAAATTTTGAGATCATTTTCTCTAGGGCGGGACCGGAAGTAGGCTAGATTGAACAGGACTATAATTGGAATCATTGAGAAAGAAGTTACCGAGATCGAGACTAGAAAAAAAAAACTTGAGCCCACTTATTTCTAATGTTCGTGTCAGAATAAAAGAAGGGCGGATGTAAACTTAATAATTAGACAATGACAACAACTATCGATCTATAATTATTCAGCAATTGCATGAGAAGAACTCCGAATATCTCTTTGTGTATATTATGGAAGTTAAAATTATTTTAAAAAATGCATAAAAAAACAATGTTCTGGTTTGATGTAATTTTGATTTCGACATTTGCTTAGAATAGAAGGTCTTCAGATGCAAGCAAACATAGAAAGTTTGCATAGTTAATAACATCGGTTAGAATTTTAAAATCAAAAAAAAGAAATAAGCAAAGGAAAGAGTGTAGAATTAAGATACTATTTTAATATGTGCACTACTTATAATGAGGAATGTTTCACGTATCAGAATGTATATGCGAGTTTCATATTTCAGCCTCTCAAAGAGCTGCACTAACAAGTCTTTTTACTAGAAAATTTAGTAATTTTAATTTTAAAATTCTACCAAAACCAGATTTTTAGGCGCTAAAAATTCGCTAGATCTAAAATAAAAAGTGCTTTTGAAAAATTCGTGATCTTCGAATATCAGATGGCCTTTTATTCTGGAGAAGATGATTAGTTTATTAAAATAGAGAAAAAGGATCAAAATTAATTATATACGAAAAGTAGTAAATAAGTTAGAACAGTTTCTCTCTAGCTTCTTTTTTTTTTTTTTGAGTGATAAATCTAATAATTATAGAAAACACTTAAAAACACCCTTAAAAATGGATAAATATTTATTTACTGACAATCATGTTTTCTTTTTTTTTTTAGGTAGTGTTAAAAAAATGAATGTGTGTTTATGAGAAATAAAATATGATTGCAATAATGATGATACGAGTAGTGAAAGCATGAGAATGAGAAATTGAAACGCATATCTCACTGTACAAAATGAAAGGTGTTAAATTACATACAGGTGACAAGGCGGATCTCACGGTCAACATGAAATGTACACACACACACACACACAAAAAAAAAAGAAAAAGAAAAACATTCGGATCATATTAGTACTCAAATATTTTCTTTCTTTTTTTGACTGGTCATATTGGATTAGACTAGTTTTTCCCATTAGTGTTCATTTTCGTGTTTTAAACTCACTATACAGATGTTTCCATCAAACGAATCATGCTGTGTGTCCGAACATTATTTGATCTCTTTTTCTCTCGTTCTCACCTAACTGACAATTAGAATGATGAGAATGATTGAATGAAATTTTCTCATTCGTGTTTTTTTTTCTTTCGTTTCCTTTCCTTTCCTTTCTTTTTTCTCATTTCATTTTTTCGTTTCTATATTTCATTTCATAGTGAATATGATTCTCGATCGTCATCAATTCATTCATCGTTTATTTAATACTATTCTTCATAATGGAAATATTTATGATATTAAAATGCTTGTATTAAAATCTTATCGTATTAATATTAATCTTAATTGTTTGAAATATAATGGTCAATCATTAGTTCATTTATGTTGTCTTTATAATCGTCTTGATTTATTAAAATTTTTTGTTGAATTTGGTCGTTGTGATATATTAACAATGAATCATGATGGTTGGCTTCCATTACATATAGCTGTTTATCTTGGTTATATGGATATTGTATTATATCTATTAGAATGTATTAAATCAAATTAAAATCTAGTCATATTATTTTTTTTTTCTTTTGCATGTGAAAAAAACTTTTCCGGTGTTTATTCACTAAGGTAATTATTTGTCTGACATTCAAATAGGTATTGAATATAAGATTAAGAGCTTAGCAATGGATCGAGTGTCTAAGGAAAATCGATTTATTGTTGATCTTTTTCTTTTTGTTTTTATTTCTTTTAAAGTATTATTGAGTTGTTCTTTTTTCGTTTTCTTTTAGAAAATGTGAACAGTGATTAACAATCAAATCAAACATATCCTCTTCAAAGTGGTCACGTACCATTGATATTTAAACAATTTTCTGTACGCCATCGAAAACAAAACAAAACAAAAAAACGAAAGTGATAGTTTTCTCACCTATTGCTCTTTTTTTCCCATGTTGTATTATGTAAATAAAAAGTGAATCGATCACACGATGTGTGGCGGTATGTTTCTCTCTTTTTATCTATCTATGTTATGACAAGATAATCTTCAAATATACAGGAAATGAATCATTCTAAATGTGATTAATTTGAATTTTTCTCATCAAAGTATTCGTTATATATTTCAAAAAGAGTGCACTAAAAAACATAAATAAGATAGAGAGCTTCGATTTTCACCTTTAGAAAAAGAAGATGAAGACACATTTGAAATGACTATAATGAATTTTCAATTATTAGATGTGAATCAGAAACATCAACAGGATATATATGTACAAAACTAGGCAAGTCTCAAATTTTTAGATTTAATCGATCAAGAGTCATAAGTATATTCTCGTCAAAATTGTTGGCCGACTTTTCAAGCAATTGCTGTGAAGAAAATCTCTTTTTTGTTCTTTTCTTATGTTAAAAGAAATCATTTTTTAACACTTTAGAAAATTGATTAAAATACTTCAGAAAACATCTTAGAAGAGAGCCCATAAGAATGCGAGTATAGATGTGGCTCAGATGAAAATATCCACTCAAACATATCACAACCTACATTCATATTTATACCCTCTATCATAGACCTAGTTGGCTGACATTGGAATATTTCATGTTTAGAACGAGCAGCAATAGATAGATATTGCTTCTTACACTTGAATCGCAAGAGTGAGCTATTTTCAATCAAACATTCGAAATTGAAATATTGCAGTTATTGAAAAGCGAATGATTAGTTCTTTTTTGTTATATAATGACTATTGAATGAGCATAAATAATCAACGAAAAAGTGATTGACACACAGATCCTTTCAATATTTACTATATCTAAAGCTATCTCTCAAAAAGAAAATTTGCTTTTATCTTGTCTCTATCTGATGATCCAAGTGAAGCAATCAATGTTATATATATGTTTTTTATTCGCAACATGAAAGATATTCATATCTATCTTAATTCACTAGGTTTATGTGAACAATTTTTTTTTTTTTCTTTGACGACTTTTCTAGTTCCATCGAGCACTGTTTACAGGCATAATATTAGCTTCAATGCTTTTTATCAATTGGTATTTTAAAAACAATTGAAAAAACTTTGAAATATTTAATTAGTTCATCTTAACAGTAATATTTAATTCAATGACTATGAACATAAACATTCTATGTTATTAAATGATAAAGTATAGAGAAAAAAATTATATTGCAAATGGAAATATTTTAGAGAATTTCAATTTTCAAAACTAAGTTTCGGACTTTTAACAAGATTTCGAAAAAAAAAATTTCAATTCGAGTATCTTGCTCATAAATAGATCGAATCATTCATAGAATATTCTAATAAATTTAATGAAAATGAACTTTTCTCTTCCGAGATAAAAGCATTCTAGAATGAACAAAATCATAGAGACATAGGATATGTTTTAAATGTAAGTTTTAGTATATTATATGAATTATAAGAATTTTTTATGAAATAAAATTCAAGTTTGAATATTTCCTTTGATATTTCTCTAAATATCTTACAAGAAGTCTATAATTTAGTAAAATTGCTGCATCTCGAATAGAATGATTCTTAAGGGCTAATGACCTTATGCGAACTACTCGTTCTTTAATTAATAATACTAGATAATACTTCATAAAACCGTAGCACAAAAAAACACTTCATAACATACAATATGACGACCCCCTTCATGAAAACAATATCTTTCTTCATAGACATAAATCAATATCATTACTAATTACACAAATATTAATATAGACATTCGAATAAAATATCCATTATATCTTCAAGTTCAACGGCAAATCTCTTTTCTAATCAATAAAAACAAATGAATCTATTTTTTTTCCTAGGATATAGAAAGATCTTTCGAATTTATATTGAAGAATAAATAAAAGTAAAGAATTGAACTCGAAATAAACTGAAAGAAAATTACAATTAACTTCTAAAAATTTTTCATGTGGTAAAATGTATTAGATAATAAAAAACCGCAAACACATGTAATTATTTATAAATGACAACCAAGATTATGAGAAAAATTATTTCGACCTAAAATTATTTAATTTCCTATATCATGCATTGAGCAGAAGCACTTATAATCTGATAGTACTCATTGTTGTTAAATTACTTGATTGTAATATTTTTCGCTGGAAGTTGATGAAATAGTGATTATTAATGCTCGAACTTGAATGAATCATTATTTATCCATTTGATTCTGTTATGTATATTTTGATTGCTTTGTTGATTTATTATAGACATATCAGCTTTAGTATTTTATTTTCCATTCTACTTTCATCGACCACATCGCTGGATATCAACTTAGTAGGACAGTTCTTATTTTAGATATTGGATAAGACACCACAGTAAACAAAAATACATGAAGAGAAAAAAGAAATATAAGACGAAAAAAATCGCCCTATCGTTGGGCTGTGGAAGAAAGGAGACGATATAACATAAATTAAATATATCAAGATAAGAAAAATGTAAAGAGAAGAAAGGCGATGTCGTCTCGCTATTTTTGACGATTTTATACTGTCAACAGATACACATTTTGTCTTCATTTGCTCTGGAAAAGAGTAAAAATCAAGTACGGTATTCTTTCCTACATATAAAATCTAAATAAGTCATTAGATCCAAAAACGTTTGTTATCAAATTGCTCGTTAAACGTTAAGAACAAATGGACACATGGAAATGGATCGTCTGCACTGTCGGTGCCATCGCTGTTTTGGCTGTTATACCTATTGGCGGATTAAAGTCAGAACATAAAAGGAAGTCAACAAGTGAAAGTAAGATAATACGTCTGACTGAGACTAATCTATCTGTTCAAAGCGATTGATTGGTGTCATTTTTGTCACTTAAATTTTCTTTTGAGCGACGCAGAAAAATAGTCATTATATTTCTTACTTTTATATGCATTCATTTTCTTTCATTTTGTAAACCATAATAATTGAATTCTACACATTAGAAAACAAAATGAAAAACGTATAGATTTTCGAAAAAAAGTAAGGTTTCTATAGGGTTTCCAAAACGAATTAGATCATACCAAAAAATATTGGCAAAGGTACTGTAATTCTTTATAAAAAGGTTTAAGAAACTTTCTTTCTAAATAGTCTAATAGAGAAAAGAATATTCTATTTTTCTATGCTATTTGATCATACTTCAATTAATATCATAATAATAAACTTTCGCTTAAAACTTATTTTACTATGATATGTGTCTGATAGTACTAGTGCCTGTTCAATGGATATGTTGTTGGATGGCTTTTGATACAAACAAGATAGAGAACTGCGGTCTTCATCGTTCGAAAGAGGAGATGAATATACATTGAGTCATATAGTATAGGTTTGTTTGACGTGATTTTTTTTAAAGGTTCTCAATCAACCTTGTTGAAAACAAACCTACTCTCATGAAATGTTTATAATGAATTAAGCAAACATCAGACCATACACTAGGAAAACGTATAATATATAATTCGATACTTCTTGATATCCTCTTTCAAACGATGAAAACCGCAGTTCTCTATCTTGTTTGTATCAAAAATCGTTCAACAAAATATTCACTGAATATGCATTAGCACTTTCAGGCACATATCATAGTAAAACAAGTTTTATCGAAAGTTTATTATTATGATATTAATTAAATTATGATCAAATAGCATAGAAAAATAGAGGGTAGGTATGAGTGTGGGTCTTCTTTTCGCTGATACATACACCCACACCCACCTATTTCAACAGCATCGTGTGTTCTTCTTGTAACTCTGGAATTACTTCAAAAAGATGCTTTACGTCGTATCATTTCTCAGATAAAAACAAGTTCTGTCACTTGTTGAAACGGCTAAGCAATGAAAGTATTTTAGGGTTTTTGTTTTCAAACAATATCAACAGATGTGATGATAGGCCAAGGCTTTTTTTTACTTTTTTTTCCTCCTTCAAATCTAATTCAACATAGTCACAACTACTGTGTTTATCGTAACAGATGTCCCACAACGTGTGATATGTTGAGTGTTACTTGCATATTTATCTAGGTGCTTTACAGATCTTACTCACATTCAAAGGACATTATCAAGCACTATATAAATACCATCGAACTTCACTAGGTTGATAAGAAAAGAAAACAGATTATTCACACTACGAGCACTTTTTTCTTAATAACATGTCTCTATTAAATATTGTTTGCATGATTTTCATTGCGGTGATTTTAGCCGTAACTGCTCAAAGTAAGAAGTTCACTTGATGAACCTTTTCTCATGAGAATCTATTGAAGGTAATTTTCCATCAACACCAGTCGAATTTCGCGGTTTATGGTGTGTATCGCAGCAGAAAATTGGCGGACAAAATTATTCTTTACAACTCGGTCAAGCATTTTTCTATAATAATGGAACATTTACCATGAATTTTTTGAACGATATTTCCTATACTTGGGTAAAAAAACAAGAGAGATTCAAAATATGCCAATAACATCTTGCATTTTCTAGGTAAATCATTTTCTCGCAGTCAATGATACGGATGGCAAGGGTACCTATCAAGTGTTTACTGATACCACTCAAGGTAAACTGACAGAGAATCACTCCTTCGGCTCATCAGATTGCTTCTATTTAGGTCCGGCTCAATATATCAATGTGAGCTCATGCTTCTGGAGACGTCGTCTTCCCAATGGAGATCTCCTTTGGGGTCAACAATCGAATGGTACTTGTACGCCCACGTTCGAAAATGAGACCGCTCCATTAGCTACTGTCTACACGCGCAACAATGCGCAATGTCAATTATTCAATGATGAAGGTTCCTTCGAAAAGCTCACCAATACACTCTATGAGTCAGAGCTCCGTCGATTTGATCAATTATTGACACAGGAAAAACGAGAAGCCGTTGTTTTCTTCGGCAGCTCGTCGCTTGTCGCATGGTCGACATTATCGCAAGATTTTGCTGACGTTCCCAGTGGAGTTATCAATCGTGGTTTTGGTGGTTCGTCTCTGAAAGAATGCTGGCAACAATTCAAGCGTGTCGTTCTACCATTGGAACCACGTGCATTAATTGTTTATGCCGGTGAAAATGACGTTGCCGGTGGTGTGAATTCATCATCGGTTTTCTCGTACTTTCAACAGTTTATTTTCACTGTTCGACGTTTCTATCCATCGTTACCCATAGCCTTTATTTCGCTCAAGCCAAGTCCGAGTCGAGTACATAAATTAGCAATAATGAACGAGACCAATAATCTTATTCGAGAGTATATTCCAAGTTTGACCAATGTACAATACATTGATGTATTCAGCCCAATGCTCACATCTGACAATAAACCACGAGCGGAACTCTTCACTTCAGATAATCTACATATGAACGCAGAAGGTTATGCCATTTGGACACCATTAGTGAAAGATTATTTGAAGGCGCAAGGATTAGTATCTGCAGCTGTTAGAAATCAATATAATTTGGTATTAATGACCTTTATCGCATTTGCCTTTCATTATGTTCTTTTTCGCTAAATTTTGCAGAGAAATAAAAACAAGATAATCCTTTAAATCAAGTCTTTTTTTTGTTATGAATATGGATGGCACTTTCACTTTTCTTTCACGAAAAAGAAAAAGAAGGAAAGTCATTCACGTACATGGATGTCTAACATTAAAAGTTTGTATACGTATGTCGTTTGTTTATAAACCAAAATATTTCAAACAAATGCGGGTGTCGGCATGGATGTGTGACCTATGCGTTTGAGACAAGAAATAAGTTATGCTCACACACTGTTTCGTTTTTTCTCAATTTTTCAAAATTAGATAAACTATTATTTATGTGCTAGGTTACATCATTCTTACTATTCATCAATCAGATAATTGAACAAGAATATAAAATCAATATTCATTAATCGATTGATTACAACTTGCAGATTCTAATCTTCAAATGAAATTGAACAGAATAATTCTTTTTTTGTTTTTCTACTTCATTATGTATTATTTTATACATTGATGTGTAAGCACATATGTATACACGATGTGAAAAAAGTTTCGTTTCAATTTTCAAAACATAATTATATAGAAAATAAAAAATAAAAAATATGCTCATCGAAATTAAGGGAAAAAATCTGATTTTCTTTCGTAGTGACTACGTAGAAAGTGATATCCTTCATTTGTATTACATAATTAAGAAAAAACTGAACTATTTGTAGTACACAATATGCACTGTTTCTCTTTGAAAACATATTCATTTATCATAGAATAAATATGACAATAATTACTCTATTTTGAATTCACTATGTGACTTTATCTAGAAGATGTTATATGATATTTATTAGCCGAATTTATGATTAATATCAATATCAATATTTATTTTTCTTTAGGAAGAAATTTGTTTGAACTCATTTTCTTTATTGATTTCCATTGAAAAATATTGATCAAGTTTGAATAAGAAAATAAGTTAAATGAAATCATCTCATTTCTACTATATAAAAAGATAGTGGCATTCAATATTCGATCATTAGGATTAAAATTATCTTCTAATATCAAATATTTTAAAGAGAGATTCTCATTTTGATGGCGAAAGAAACTCACCAATTATAAATGAATGTATTGATTGAATGAACATTTATAGTTAACGATTACATTATCAGTTACTGAATGTTATACTAGTCAAAAATATCAATAATAAAAAATGATTAACCAAATAAAAACAAGTATTAAAAAAATTATACTGTATTTTACTTATAAGCATTTGTTTTATGTTACTGTAGAAACTGAAAATCTAAAGAAACTTTTCCTATTCAAGTCAAAGAGGTATGGCAGGAAACGAGTAGATCTGCTGAATTCACATCGATTTCCAATGGCCAGATCTAAAATTGGTTCAGGTCTCCATTTCCGGCTCACTTCCCGCCATTTTCTACACTCGAAAACAATGTGCAGATCTGGTTCTCGTTTCCGATGCGGTTCCTGACTAGAGATACGTCCATCTACCACGACAAACCGATACGGATCGAATTTCATCATTTCAAAAATCCGAAACCAGCCGTTTTTTGAGTCCGGATCCTGTAGCTTCTCTTACACTATTCCCTTCTAAAACACTTACGACTCATACCTCTTCCATCGTTTATTCCAACAAAAAGCATCACCAAAGTAAATGAACATTTCTCAATTAAAAGTGAATGTTTTGGATTATTTTCGTCATTATAATGCTCACTTTTCCAGTTTGAAAGGTTCTACCTAGTCACATATGTTTTTCTATTTTCATCTAGTAACAAATGATTTTCCTGCATTTTTTAGTGCGAAAATGAGCATCTCTGATGATTAAAATACTCACTTTCGAACTATAAAAGTTCCAGATAAAAAAAACTCTGGAAATGGTGAGAACTTGGAAGCAGGTAATAGATACTCGGATCCGGTAGTGGGCTTAGCCCGATCACAGTCGTTCCCAATTAGAACCTGGAAGACGAACATCTGTGTGTACGAAAGGTTTGAGTTAGGAGGCGTTTGTCTTTCCATTACTTTTTCAGCTTTTTGGCAGTCGTGATGGAGTAGAACAATAATGTACAGTGACAATTATCAGGTCCAATTTTTCTCGTTCTTTAAACTATCATGCTGATATGCTGTGGTGATTGACAATCACTTTCACTTTGCCTCATCAATTAATACTCCCATGAAAATTCTTGTTTTTCTCTCATATTATTGAAACCAACTATTCGTTGCTTCGTAATCCATGCACGTTAGATTGCGTTCAATATTGATTCTACTGAAAGATCATCACTATTTCTCATCGTCCTTTGTATAATGACAGTGTTTTCTTTATAACTTATCTAAACATGCAAGCGAGTAGCTTGAATGAATAAGCTAAAAAGATTCACTTTGACCTATGGGTGAGTGGATGAATATTGGTGTGGGTCAACACCAAACAACCATCGACATTCACACTCACATCCACAGCCAGATTCTCTCCAATGTAAGATTTTTACATCTAGATGCGGTCTATGATAGAAACACGTTTCAATGCATTTCAAATATGGGCTTAGCATAAGTTAGCAAGTGTCGTAAATTATCATCTTAAGCGACTGAAGTAATATGTGAACAAGGGAAGAAGTGATTCTTCGTTCGATAGAAACTATGTTTGAAGACTAACTGAGTCGTCTCGATTTATCGGAGCAACATCATTTACTGTTGAAAACTGGAATATTATATATTCAACACATTTTTCCAATTTTCTTTTTTGATAATCATTAATAAAAAGCTTAAAATAATACTATTATATTGTGCTGATTATGATGAATATCAGAAAATATTTTTTGTCTTGGAAAGTCAGGTTGGTAACACGTTGGATGATTTGATATAAATCTGTAATGATTGAAAAATCAACTATATTATGTATAGGAACTGAATAAAATTTACTAATAATGTAGTTCAAGCCGAATAATTCTAAAATTTGAATTAGAGATCGTTAATAGACTAAAAGATCTAAATAATTAATTTTATCTACCATTGCTACAAATATCATTGCGTCTTATGTTCTGTCTTCATTATCTAACCATGTATTTAAAGCGTTGTTAATTTACAGACAGACATGTTTAAGAATTTCGAAAGTTTAAAAGATGTTCACCGCTATCTCAGTTAATAGTACGCGCTAAAACAAACTGTTTTAACGACCACTGGAGCATGGTACACTAAAACTACGTGAGTGTGAAACTGACAAAACTTTTTTCACATGTATATGAACATGATTTAAACTCTACACGATTCTGGCCATGGCTAATAAGTTTTTTCTAGGTGCATTTAGGCACGTTGTTTATGCAAAATTCTCTGAGAGACGACTTCGTTTCAAACCATGTCTTCATTGCAACATTTTTTTACGTCTCGAGACGGTTTATGATAGAAATGCAAATAAACGTGTTTCAAAAGTTCTTGTCCAATGCGTTCGAACGCTTATATTCTGCGTCTGCTGTTTACATGGGTGGCCAAAACGCAAGTCATATTGTTCTATTGATTGGAAACTCAATTGACAAATTACACATTGCTGGTATGGGGATATAGCTCAGTGGTAGAGCATTCGACTGCAGATCGAGAGGTCCCTGGTTCAATCCCGGGTGTCCCCTTGCCTATTATTTTCTTTTTTTTGCTTTCTGTTGTCACTCGTCTTATTTATATTCGGATGCAGATTGACATTGATATTTTGACGACACTTACAGTTTTCTTAATAACGATATGTTACTCCTGAAATGTAGACCCTCAGACTTCACAAATATGTACTTCAAGTTTTGCTTGACGTAGCTGGAGATCTTGCTGATTGGATCACATATAAGATTTAAAACATCAGAAAGTCTATATTTTGGTCAAGACTTAAATAAGTAGATTATATACAAAATTTGAAAATTTCGCAATACTCATTTCATTCTCATACAAATGTCAATAGTATGAGTTATAAAAATAAATGATAAAATCTTTCGCAATTTCTTACCGTTCTTGTGTAATTTTTTACATGTATATATTTAAAGACTTTATTCCGTTTTGTTTCATTATACATTTAGAATAGAGTAAGTTTTATAATGATTTTCTTCATTTTATTGTTAAGTTGACAAACTGTTTGCATTTTAGTATTATCAAACTATGGCGTCAGATATTGATTATGATAGTTTTGATTATAATTCAAGTCAAGATCCTTTCGATATCGATTACCAAATAGATCTATTTGAATTTCGTCAATTTGTAAAATCTAAAAAAACAAAGCAAAAAATAAAAAAATCTTCCTGTCCAATTTCAATGAAAACTCTTAAATGTCAACCAATAGTTGTTAAAATTAATTGTATGAGTTACAAAAAAACACCAAAAGCTGAACAAAAATCATTTCGTTATAATCGTTATCCACAAAATTCAGAGTTATTCGAATTTGATGAAGTATGTGATGAAGTATTTGGAGAAAAATCAATATGTACTCAGTCAAATGTACCATCCAATCCCTCCAAAATACTTGAACCTGAACATCTAGAAAGTTTTTCAAACTTTCGTCGTCATTTCTATCATGTCAATCATCAACGTATTAAATCTTCTCTTAAAGATCATCCTAATATTGAAATTACTAATATTCGTGTTGTATCAGTCAATGAATCTGTTCAAAATGATTTTATGAAAATATTAAATCAAAATATTTCATATTTTCCACAATTAGTTTATCATGGTACAATGTTGAATAATATTGAAAGTATTCTTCATTATGGTTTTTTGATACCAAATCAAGCACATCCATCCAATAGTGAAGCACCTATTATTGCTTCAGCACATGGTCAATCGTTTGGAAATGGAATTTATTGTAGTCGAACCGCTGTTTATTCTTTATCATATGTCAATACCACTAATACTCTTTTAGTATGTGCAGCAATACCAAAACGAGACAAAGTTGGACAAATTAAACATTACTATGGAAATATATTCGTTTTATCTGATGTAACACGAATTATACCATTATTTTTCATTGATTTCAAATATCTGAATCAATCAGGTACCAATCGACCTTGGTATAACAAGCAAAAGGAATTAAAAATAGATGAAAATCAGGAAATAAAAAAATCTACTGTTATTTCAAGAAAATATTTACGAAAAGTACTAAATTATATGAATGATGATATACGAAAGAACAATCAATATCAAATACGATCGTTTGATTTATTCAATTGACGTAATTTTTTTATATTGTTCGAAATAAAAATAAGAAAAATAATTTTGAGCTATGAATTTGAAAATAAAGGTGCGTGTTATCTACTAATTCTCATCCTCAAGAATCATTTCTGTTTTCTATCTTATTTTCATAAGTTTACATTTATAGTTTCACTTCTGTGGATCGATAAAATGTCACTTATGGATAGAATATGTCATTATTTCTATTTGTTAATAGTTGCCACGTTTTAAGATAGCGTTAATTGTAAGGGATCGCAACCTTTATATGACTATGGCTATTATATATATATATAAAATAAAAAGGATGAAAAAATATCAAAACTAAAAAGAAAAGCAAAATTTCATTATGAATTTGAAACCAAAGGACTAGAGATGTTATTCTCTTTTTTTATTACTACGTGGATTGATTTGTGCTGCATTAAGTTTTGTTAATTGTTGTCCATTGCTATCAAAATTCGCTGGATTCAACCAACGTTGAAATTCTTGTATTAATTGTACCCATTCATCATCGACAATACTAAACCATGACTTATCTCTTGATTGACCTCTAGATAAATCTGATTTGATCCATGTACCTTCATATTGAAAACCTAATCGTAATGCAGCTCGTCGAGATTTAGCATTCAACGCATTACATGGCCATTCTACTCTTCTGAAACTTAATATATCAAATGCATAGTGTAACAATAAATAATTTGCTCCTGTAGCTGAACGAGTCCGTAATAATTGTGCACTAAAATTTACGTGTCCTATTTCAATTGTACCATATTCTTGATTAACATTTGCAAAAGCAATAAATCCAACAGCAGTATCATTAACTAGAATACTATAGAGAATAGTATCACTACTTCATAATTCTTTCAAATTTATAAATTCATCAATTGTTTTAAATGGTCCATATAATAAATAAATAAAATGAGTTTGTTCTGTTGGTTTAAATGCATCACAAAGTTGTTGAATAGTGTTATTATTAGTTTTTGAATTAAGTAATTCCAGTCGACAATATTGACCTTGAAGTGTATAATATTGTGGATTAGCAAGAGGATGAAGACGAGGCGTCCAATTTTCAACAATATCACCTAGTGGTTGATCAATAGAAGTTGTGATGATTGAAGTCAGCGTCACGTCTTCTGTCATATTCGATCGTACTATGCAAGAATGAATGAGGCTAAAAGTGAGTTATCAAGTGTTCCCTTATCTAATATTT